CAAGTTTGTGAGACATTGACCTCGAGGAGAGAGAGCACTTCTAGGGCATGAATCACTCCTCGTGGCTATTAAAGAGGCCAAAAGATTGGCTCACGTGTGGACATCCAGAGCTAGCGGAGGTTCTGCCTCTTGTTCCAGTTTGATTCCCACATATTCTGTTCATCTCAAGTGCCCTAGGAGTATATTTAATGTACGGACCTCTTTATTTCAACGTACAATATTGTCAAAAAAATCGTAGGAAACATATAGCCAGAGGTAGGAGTGATCTCGTGTTCATCATCATTCTTATCTGCCATCAAAAGTCGGTGTGTAGCTTTGTGAGAAGATCCAAAGAAAACTGATTTCTTAGTTTTATGAAATAACTGTATTTCAAAATACTGTGCATCTCTGATATATTTAGCTTGGAAATGCATTTATTTCTTGCTAACCTATATTTAGTGATGAAATATCTCCTCTGTCTTATTTTTCTTTTTAATATTAACGTAATGGACCCGCAAAGAGAAGTGGATGAGCAGCTTTTATTAAGTAAAAGCCAAGTGAATGTGTGAGTCAAAGAGACGGGAGGAAGGATGCCTGTTCGAATGCTACATGCTTCTTTTTTACCAGCCAAGAAGTAAATCAAGTCCAGCGTTACAAAAGCTCTTTGTGGGCCTCTTCTAGTTAAAGAAAATGTTAGGGGAATTTCCCCTGAAAGATCAAATTTAGGTTTGCTTTGCCAGTAATGTCTGCCAGTTATACTGCCAGTGAAGAAACTGTAGTTTTATCAAAAGATCCCTCGTGTTTGGCCATGGATTATTGAAACAAGATAACGCGGCTTCTACCTTCATGTAAAGAAAGTGGTTCGGGTGAGGCAGGTCTAACTGGCCCCTGGATAGTATCTAATGTAGGGGGTTATACATCTGCTCTCCGATCTATACAATCTGCTAACATCATCGTTGTCTGTAGGGGAAAAAAAATACTTGTGCGAGAGCCTCCCTCCCAAGCTGGACGGGAGCCCCCGCGGGAACACGGGGCAGGGGAAATTGCGAGTCCCACCAGAAGCCCCTGCGTCGGCACCCTCGGCAGAGCGGGGCTTTCACCTCGAGCAGCCCCGGGAACGAGGGGCGTTGGAGCCTCGACATGAAAGAGGATGATGTTTACTGAACCGCCGAGGGGAGAGGAGCTTCCGCAGAGGGCTGGGCTCCAGAAGAAGCCGCCTTGGATGTTTTGTTTGGGGTTGTGTAGAACGTGCCCCTTGTGAAACGCGTTCGGCGCTGGCTGCTGCTTTGTAGCGAGGAGCTTTTCCTGTGCACAGTAAACAGCTCTGGGGCTCGCTCCAGGAGAGCATTCAAGTATCGTGGGTGGAGTATGCCCTTGTGGTTACCCTGGAATACAAAACTTGGATGCTCTTTCTCAGGGTTGGAAGCTGCTGCAAGATTACACTCAGCTTCAGGCGGGAGATAAGGGCTCCATGTAGGAATTTGTGCATGGATTCTCTGCCTCTGCTGCGCCATCAAACACTTGAAATATAAATTATATGTGTATGAGAGCAAGCAGTGGAAATGGATGTCCTCAAGCATGCGTGTTGTGTTGGGCTCATCCCTTGGAGGAGCGTAGTGAGCAATGCAGACCTCTGAGAAACCCCCAGTTCCTAGCTTTTCTGCCATGGGAAACCCAAAGAAATGCTTCAGGAAAACAGAACGAAAAAAGGCAAAGACTTCTCAAGCAAATGCTTTCAAGGTTTCTCACTTAAAAACAAAACAGAACAAAACCCTTAATCATGAAATAACTTTAAGCTTCTTTTAATAAAAAGAAAAGCTTCTTAAAAATTAAATCTTCTCTTTAAGTGTAATGAATTTTGGAAGCAATTTTTTTTTCTATTAAAACAGTGAGAATTTGTACCTCTCCTCAGTATTCATCAAGGCAGTCTTATCATGAGGTTCATGCCAAATAAGTGATTAGAGAAAGGAGGAACCTGAGGCTGCTTTTGGAAAGGGATTCAGATCCTTGGGTGCAGTTCTGGCCCGGGACTTGGACACGCTCAAGGGCAGAGCGTCCGAGCAGGTCTGTGCGGGTGCGGAGCTGCCCAGACATTTGGGCCGTGTCTGAATTAATCGGTTCCCCTGGGAAAACCGTTCCGAGGAGCGGGACTGTTGTCAGCTGTGCCGGTGCTGGGAGGCAGCCGGAGCCAGCGCGTGGCTGCGTGAGTGCACGAAGGTGGATGCCTGGATAAAGCCCCCTCTGGCAGTCACCAGGAAGGGAGGGGGTGCTTAATTTTCGTGAAACTTTGTTAGTGCCCTGTGCTGGGAGAGAGCAAAGGGCCTTTCCCTGAACCATCTTGCGCGTTGGATGACTGGAGGGACCTGCTGGGAGGGGGACGTGGACGCACACGTCGAAAGATATAATACATAAATACAAATGTATGTATACATTCTCTGTCCTTTGCTTTCTCATCCAGGGTGCCGGTGTTGGCGGTGCGGGCAGCGCCTGCCCGGCCGCTGTGCTGCCAACGCACAGACAGGGAGCAGCCGGGCGGGCGGGAGGGCCGCTCTCTCCCACGCACTGGGCCTAGGCTTTCATCGGGATGCTCCTGCCCGCCATCCCATGGGCCCTGGGCTCCTGCACGCCGTCCTGTTGGCCCTGGACTTTCGTTGGAAGGCTCCCGCACACCGTCCCATGGGCCCTGGGCTCCCGCACGCCGTCCCATGGGCCCTGGGCTTTTGCTGGGAGGCTCCCGCGCGCCGCGCACCCACATGGGCCCGGCTCGCCGCCCCCCCGCGCTCCCTTTCCCCCGCCCCCCAAGCGACACCTGCACACGCACGTGGAGCAGCTTTCCTCCTGGAACAATAAATAAGGGCAAGCCAGGGCTGCAGCCTTTCTTTGCAGAGGGGTTTTTGGAGCTCCGTGGGTTTCCTCCTCGTGGGTGGGTGATGGGTGAATTTCGGGCAGCTCACGAGCTTTGCGCGGCTCCTTTCTGTGGGAGATGCTGCCATCTTCCTCACTGCAGGCTCTGCGTTGGGATCGGCTGAGATACTGGGGAGAGGGCGGGCGGGAGGACGGCGGAGCTTGGGCAAGAGAACCAGGCTCTCCAGAGCTTGAAACAGCAGTCTGTGACTTTGTGCTTTTCTGATGCTTAGCAGAACGGCTGTAGCAGCCAGGTCATGGACTCGGAGGCGGTCAGGAAGGTCTCTCGGGCTCTGCAGCCGGTGCCCCAAGGTTGTGGCAAGGGACACTCCAGGAAGCCAAGTGTGCTGAATCCTCGCTGGGAGGGGAAGAGCCCACATCCTGCAGGGTGAAGGCCACCGAGCGGGAGATTTGCTGAGGCTCCGCTTGTCTTCCCTGATGCTAACTTGGAAGAAGTTGAGGTTCTTCATTTTAGTGCTTTCATTTCCTTTCTCTGCATGAGACAATTTGTCTCCCTGCCAGGAAACTTTGCAGAGTTGCTCCTCGAAGGGACTTCTTGGGGTCCCGTTTATGCTAGAATAGCAAAGATTATCTCTGCCCATCGAAAATATGATTCCCGAGCTGTGCGCTGTATTGTAGCAGCAGGTTGTTTCCTCGACTGTCAAGTACCTGGATTTCTTATAATCATAATAATAACTTTCTGCTTCTTTGTACACTAGAAGCAATTTGCTGATATTGAAGGACTGGCATAGCTGTAACACAGAATTTCTATCAGAGAAGTAAAAATAGTTACAAAAGTTGGCTACCTTGGTGTGGAAATGTGTTTTTGCCTATACAATTGCATCTTTGTGGGGACTTAAGCCAGCTCCACGGCATCTGTTAATGATCCTGCCTCTCCACGTGGCTAATACAGTCCTGCTGGCAAATATCTGGTAGTTTAAATCTGGTCCATGTTTCTATTGTGGGTTTTCTTTTCCACATGGGCTAAAACCATCTTGTTTGTGGGCACCTTTGATGCCGAGGCACACAGGTGTGAAACCCTGGCCGTGCCGACGTCAGCAGCGAGCTCCCCTCAGAGACACAGGCCTCGCCGCTAACGTCGCCTCCAGCCTCGCCTCAGGTCACGGGGCCTCCCCTTCCCGCATCGCGCTGGAGAGCAGGAGGAAATATTGTCCCATCCTGAAGCAGGCTGAGCAGTCCGACCAGTTTGGGTCCGCGCACGTGTGCGCTTACGCACAAGATTTGAAACAGAGATGATTTGGTATTGCCAAGAACTGGCAGAGGAGAGCTCGACTCCCGCCTTCGCTTCCCTGCATCTCAGTTTCTCTGTCTGGAAATCTTTTTTTTTTTTTTTTTTGTTCTGACTCTCTTTTGAGAAAGCTTAGGTTGAAGCATGACATTCCCCTGAACAAGTAGTTAGAATTAATTTTAGCAGCCGGTTTTGGGAAATACCGAATCTATCTTGTCATTTCCATGTTATTTTTTTCTTATTATTTGCTAACCTACCTGTAGGAGTTCCTAAGCAGAAATACGATCATACTCCGGGCCAGGAGCGAGTGCTCCCGAGCACTGAGAGAAGAAAAGAGTCGTTGCCGTTTTTGACAGGGCCGTGTAAGGTCCTGCCCCAGTCCCCGGAACGCTGCGTTTGCAGCAGAGGGTGCGGTTGGCTGCAGGGAGCTGCAGGGTTGCTGAGCTTGGCTGTGGAGTCGTTCAGCTTCGCTGCTGTTTGTGTGTCCAGAGGGGAGAACAAAGGGAAAAGGAGACAATGGCGACCGTGGGGCAAGCTGAGTGACAGGGGGTGCAGCCTGCCCCACCTTTAGCTGGGCCCGTTTCGTATTGCAAGACCTTGTTTTCAGTTCTGTGTTCTGGGGTCAGATTTTCTCTTTCAGTGTGCAGTTTTCCATGCTGAGCGTTCCCTGCTGGATGAATTACTTTTGGAAACCTTCAGCCAAAATGTTTCAGCTGTTTCAAAGAATGAGGCAAAGGGGAAGAAAAGGACTCTTTCCTCTGCTTCAAAATGTACCGCAGGGTTTTCATTTGCTCAGAGTAATGCTGTGCTTTGGAACCAAAATGTGATATGGTGGAGAGGGATGCTCTTTGAACCAAGAATGCATCCTTTGCCGCTGCTGTGTCATATCCACCTTAATTTTTTTCCAAGTCCCTGAGGGAATAAAATTCCAGCTTGAACATGTTCAGCAGAGGTTTCTATTTTTAGTAGCTAAAATCTCCAGTGATTCCATCGTCCGTGAATGTGCCGCTCTCCGCAGCACCCTGTGCCAGGCAAGTGATGCTCATGCTGCCCCTCTGGAGCCCAGCCCACAAACTGAAGCAGATCCATGGGGGAGCGAAGTGACACATGGGAGGTGAGAGCAGTTTTTTGACGGCTCTGGCCTAAATATGTGGTTGAGACCCAGGGTGACCCAACAGTATCGCAGTTCCTGCAGGCTTCCCTCTTCTCATTGCTGTGGGTTGAGGTTGCTCCAACCTTCCAAGCAGAGCCTTGTGTTATCACAGCCCTAACGCTGGGCTATATAAAGCCCCAACCAGGGGTTGTGTGGGAACAGATACGTGCCGCCTGTGGAGTATAGCTAAGGCTGGTCCCCTAACCCGAGCGACAGAACATGCCCCTGGGGCTTAGTGGGTTTCTGAAGAAATAAATGCCACATTGTGAGAGCAGGGCCATTGCAGATAGTTTCAGCCATCACCAGGGATCTGAACCCTGGGACAAACATCTAAGCTCCTCAAATTGTGCCCAGGTCAAGGTGGGCAAAAAAAAAAAAAGACTTAAAAAGTTAACTGATGTTGAGTAGCTTTATTTTGGTGAGACTAGGCGTGGGGCACACAGGAAAACTGGAAGCTGGAGGGAAGCGGATTTTGGGGAACCTTGGCTGGCAGTGGTTTTCCAAGGCTGAGAACCAGTGAAATCTGGGGGTTCCTTAGCTTGAGACAGGAGTAAAGCAATGAAGAGACTGCTGCCAGGAGCTCTTGTAGCAAGGTTTTGGGGTGAAGAAAGGGATTCTGAAGGACAAAGGATGAACAAGGACTGTCGAAGCGGCGATATGAGAGGACAGGTCTGATGCTTGAAGTATTTGGGAATAGAGGACCGCAGGGAACAGGTGATGGGGAGAGAGAGGAGGATGGGGAGGGGAGAGAGGGTCTGGCTGAGGCACACGGTACTGCATGAGCTACATGGGACTAGGAGTGCGTGAGGAGGAAACTGGGACTTGAACAGTGACCTCAGAGAGAGAAACTGGGGCTGTCCGGGCAAGGGGAGACCCAGGGAGCAAAGACTGGTGCTGAGTAGGCAAGGAGGATAGCATGGACAAGGACATTACCTGAGGAGGTGAGAGGACTGAGGTGGGGACAGATCAGAGAAGATTTCTGCAAGTTGGGGTCAAGGTCCTCGTTCCTCTGCTGCAAAACCCGAGGAAAAACGCCTGGAAAAAGACCTGTCTTCCTCCTGGAGCTGCTGCTGCTGCTGTCAGTTGTTCCACTAACTCAGGTGGCAGAGGTCTGTTCAGCGGAGCCAAAGCATCCAGCCTGTCTAATAACCCAATGGCCCGCCAGTATCATGCCACACCATGAAGTTTTGGTGTTTCTCTCAGTTTGCCTTTAAAACACACAGACACACGAAGTGAAGCACTCAGGAGTTGAAAAGTGTCACATTTATGGCTCTGTGAGCAGTTTTAATGCTTTATTAAGGTGTTAATGTTTAGTGTCCACGCAATGTTAAGTTTTCCCTATGCATGTATGCTGCTGTGGTCACCGGCCTGACTGTGCAGCCACAGACTTTCATCCAAGGCTTGTTCAGTCTCAGTGCAGCAGAAGGGACCTGCTCCTGAGGTGAGTCAGGGTAATGCAGTGAGAGGAGCTGGTGTCTGCGGGGATTCTTGCTTAACTTGGCAGGTAGCAAAGGGGAAATGGCTGAGAGAGCCTCCTCCTGCTGCCCCTTCCCAGGGCTCTCTGCAATGTTGGACAACCCCTCAGGGCAGCGTCTCTGGCAGCTGCAACCTGCTGCGTGTTTCCAGCTCCTGGGTGCTGCATTTCAGGCAGTGGGGCTGCCCAGAGCCTCCCACCTGCTTGTGAAGGCAGTGGGAGTTGCACTTGTAACAGCCTGACAAGTCAAGTCTTGCTTGTTCTCTAAAGAAGTAGTGTCTTTGACTGTAATCTGCATACCTTGGCTCCCCGTTTGTGCAGTTCCATGGTAAGCAATACATGTGCTTGAAGGGAAGCAAGGAAAAAGCCAATCATTCCATGTCTGTCTTCCAGCACTGTAGTTTCTTCCCTTCCCTTGCATGTGCTTTGATGCTTGCCAGCTTTTCATGACAAGTGAGTAAGATTAATACCCAAGCAGAAAACTTTGGACTCTTCCCCCCTTTTATTTCTTTGCCTCTTCAGTGAGCTGAACTAGCTCAGCAACGGCTCAGACCAGCATCAGAGCTGATACAAGGGAGCAGGAGGGAGATAAGGTGGGAGCAGGAGGGAGATAAGGCAGGAGCAGCCCCAGTGAATGGCACTGAGCTGTCAGGTCTGATTAGCAGCCGTGTTTAGCAACGAAAGGGATGAGACCCCACTGCCCAGCAGCCAAGGGTGAAGCGGAGGCCCAGGAGAGGCAGGACAGTCCCTTTAACCATAGCAAGCAATTAAATTGGGCTAGCAACACGTGGATGGGCAGGTTTGCCCTGTGGGCTCCCTGACAGAGAGGGAGAGGGTTGGTGGAACCAGTTCCATCGTGGGGTTAGGACCTTATCAAGCGCACAACAGGCAGGGTTTCTGCGCACGGCCTGAATGCTGACGCTGCCAGCTTGTACCCTCCTGAAAGTGCAGCATTTGTAAGCACCGTTCATATAGAGGAAGGTTGTGGTGCTTTGATTCCATTTGGGCATTTTGAAAAATGAGTTTTTTTCGATACCCTCCTGATCCCCATGTAAGCATGAGAGTAAAGTATCATAGATGCAAACAGAAAAGACAGGGCAGAGGGCAGGATGTGTAGGAGACTGGGTGGGATCCAGCTCTAAAATGTACTGCAGGAGCGCGTTGCTTCTCCGTCACTGTCCCTTTGTGGCTATGTTTACATAAGCTTATCCGGCTTTATTTATTTATTTATATTTCTTGGGCCTGGCCGCCTAAGATTAGGGTCCCTCGGTGGTGGTGGCGCGCAGAGCGCTCCTGCTGCCGGTCCACCACATATGGTTGACTGCCTTCATGGGAAAAAAAAAAGAGTTCCTCTGTTTAAGCTGCATTGGTGTTTCACTGGATGCCGCCATGAAGCCCTGTGGGTCCTGCAGCAGCCAGTCCTATCAGGCTTGGGGCACCCTATCTGAAAGGCTGGTTAGTTAGGGACACAAGTGGAGTTTGCTGAAGTCCTGTGGTCCTGAGGAGAAACCACCGCTGCTAACCTGTCGGCTAGGGAGGACTCGGGGCATGTGGCACAGAGCTTTGAACTGAGCCATTCGTGTCCAGAGGTCAGGTTTCGAGAATCCCCTGTGTCCATTCACCCGCTGGGAAATGCTCCAGCATGCGCCGAAAGCATTGGGAGGGCAACGGGGAGCCCCGCGGAGCTGCTGCAGCCGCGATGGGGGAGCCTGGCGTGCAGGCTGGACACGGGAGCTGTGGGCCCCGTCCCGGAGGCGGGTCGCGCGGCGGCGCCGCTCCATAGGGGCACCAGGCCACGTGCGAGCGGGCCATGGGGGATCTCCGGAAACGAGGCCCAGCTCCTGTGCGGGCCCACGGGTGGCTCAGGGCCCGTGCAGCAGCTCCGAGCACGTGCGTTCGTGCAGGACCCTGCGTCTTCAGGCTTTCTGCGTCCCCAAAGGGAAATGGGCTCAAAATAGAGTAGGGGCCGGGGGAGGGAGCGGTTAAGACTTTAACTGTTGGCTCATGATTTTCCTGTTAGTGTTTTGTCTTTTTGGCATCCTTCCTGTTCTTTATATACGTATAGTATATATTGTTGTCTCATGGCTTTTCTCTGTGTAATATCCTTTATTGTATAAAGCACTGGAATTAGGAAATGTTGCTGGTAGGTCTTGTGTTACCGCTGTGATTTAGTGACTAGAATATTAGATTTTTATTTAGCAGAGTATTTCTGTGGCCACCAAGGAGAAGCGAGTGCGTGGGGGCTTTTACACCCAGCCTGTGTGTGCTCTCCTCGGAGGACAGTTTCTGTGGTGTGACCAGCTGTGGGCGCTTCGGGCGGCGTGAAGCCTTGTTGATGCGCGCCGTGGGGGGAGAATGTCCTGCCTGGGGACTGGGCTCCTGCGCTTGTGTGAGCACAGGGAATCTCGAGATAGGGCCTCTAGTATACGGAGATGGTGATACCACCACCAAAGCACAGGCCTTTTTGCGGGTACGTTTTGGGAACATTTTCTTTTTGAGGCTCGCTGTAGTGGTCGCCTGACCATCAGAGTTGAGGATCCGAGTCGAGGATCTCCATGTGATTCATGTGGTGATTGCATACGTTTCCCATGATGTGAGCTATAGGGTGCTTGGCGCTTCTCTGGCTTTCGACGTTGTCTGGTGGCTGCCCCAAGTGTGTGTAGGTGGTGGACAAAACTGGATGTCATCTTCTCCCAGAAGTTTAGCTCTGGTATCCCTCTGGATCCCTCCGGATGGCGTCCCGGCACGCTGGGGTCGGAGCATGCCTGCTCTCAGAGCCTCTCTTTTATTCAGCGGTTGCTTTGGGAACATGGCAGAGCATCCAGCGCTCGGAGCAGATGTGCATACTCTGCACAGCTTCTTGATCACAACTGGGGAAGAGGGCATCTGGGAAGGAGCAGGGAGGGGGAAAAGGAAAACTTAAATTAGAAGAAAACCAAACAGCTATTGCTGGAGACAGATGATTACAGTTCATTTCAAGGCTGCTTCCTGCATGCCAGTGATAGATCAGTAAACAAACGCCTCTCTGCAAACACAAAGCAGGCAGGAACTCAGTTTGGAAGAGAGAGGTCGGGGTAGGTCTCACTGTGCTCCGTAGCAGGAAGCCCCTATCACATGGCCCTGGGAATCGCGGGGCCGGGTGCGGGTGGGAGATACGGGAGAGGCTTCTGCTGGGAGGCTTCACATCCTTCCCAGAGCGCAGCCAACAGGTTTGAGAGATCCCTCCCCTCCCTCTTTCCTCCCACCTCCTCCCCTCTCCTTCCTTTCCCTGTTTTATTTTGAACTGCTATCAGATGACCGCTTTGTTCCTCCAAACAATGGCAGGGGTTCCTGAATAAATCGCAGCGAGAAAGCTCTCCAAATGGGCCCTCCTCTCCCCTCTGCTGCATTTATGGCTTCCGTGCTTCGAGGTGTACGTGCCAGGCGGGGGGCTCTGAGAGGTGGCACCGGGGAGCCGAACCTCCTGTGGGGAGGCAGGACCTTCATTCTCCTGTGCTGTCTAGAGAAAGGAGATGCAGGTCAGGATGTGCTGGGTTGGTGTCAGTACATCCTTCTCGAGTCATCTGCAAAGTGAACTCAGCCTGGCTTGTTCTCTTCTTGAGCAAGTACAAGGTAGAAGTAGAGCGTGATCATGGCAGAGGTGCAGGAAGACAGGAGGGAGGAGCAGGAACCCCCTCGGCCTTGGCAGGGAGCTGTGGTGTTGGCTCGGGTGCCTTGTGGAGCTGCTCCTCAGCGCGGAAGAGCCACCTTTCCTTTCCTTTCCTGCTGGAGGCAGCTTTCCGTCGCTGCCATCCCCCTCACCACACCGTGAGGGTGTCTGTGGGTTGCTCCTGCGCGCTGTTTCTGACGTGGTGGTGGCTGCGGGAGAGACGTCCCTCCAGGCTTGGCTCCGTGTGGCGCTGCCCCCGTGCCCTGGGTGAGAGCCCTCCTCTGGAGCGGGGCCTGTGGCTGCGAGGGCCCCTCAGCTCCCAGGGACGCTGCTCTGACGGAGGAGCCGGGCAGTGAGCCCTGGTGTGACTCCTTGCACAGGGCTCATCAACCACCCTCTGCTCTGCTTCTGCTTAGCAGGGTGATGGAGTCTGTCCCGTCTCTCTAGATGAAGAAGCAAGCCCAACCTCTTACTCATTATTATCTTCCTTGCCGCTCCTAAACAAGCTACATCAGTCGTATGTGACTGCTGGTGAGCACCCCAGCACATCTGCTTGTATACAAGCGTCAGTTCCCGAGCCAGATTTTGTTAGTGGTCTTCTGGAAAAGTTCGGAGACGGAGTTTCCGGATCAGGGAATTATGTGACCTTGTGAAGAGGGAAAAGCTCAACGTGAGCAAAACCTCAGTATGGCAGCGGAAGGAGAGGGGCCGGGCACGTGCTGACCTCTGCTGCCGGTGCCTTTCCCGCCGCTGAAGGCAGCGGTTCGGATGCCGCTGTGCCGAGCACTAGATGAGCCATGAGCAGGAGACTGTGCTTGCGCGAGGGCCGCTGAAGCCAAGCGCAGAACAGCTCTTACAGCTTTGCACAAACCTGCTTTGGTTGCCGGGGTGAGTCATTCTTTGGACGGGGACGTGAATGATCATTAGCTTTTCATTATTCTCCATCCATAACAGTTAATGGATGGATGAGTATATTTTGCTTCTCCGGCTGGTAACTTCTTCTGACAATTTTGCAAGGCTGCTCTGTGCCTCGGTGTGAAATGGGGGTTTGTTCCAGCTGCTAATGAGGAAGAGAAGCCAAGGGGGTTTATTGTCTGGGGAAAGCGGGCCCGCTAAGCGGCTAGCGATGAGCTGCCCCGCGTGTGTACGCACGGAGCTGACCCGGAGCTCACTCCCCGTCTTAGGAACGCTGCCAGCGTGGGATGAAGGGAGGCAGGGAGAGAGGACTGGGAACAAACAAGGCTGAGTTTTTTTTCTATTTCTTTCTTCTTTCTCTCTGTCTCTCCCCTCACCCCCTCCAAGTACTTTGACAGTGGAAATAAGAGGTCTTTTTGTTCTTTGGTGTGTTGAGGTTTTGTTTTGCTTTGTTTTGAATTTTAACTATAAGAAAGGACACCCTTTCCCAAGGCTTTCAACTTTGTTGCCAAATGTCAGTCATGGCAGTGTATCACCCAGCATGCTGGCCAAGGAGATAGACCTGAGGGGCTTCAGGTTTTCCAGGCACTGCGTGCGAAATGCTGAACCCCTTCTTGCCACTGAAATGCTGCAGAGCAAGCAGGCCGTGGGAGAAGCAAGAAAAGGGCGCTACAGAGCCTTTACTTAATTATTTTAAGGAGCAAGGGTTAGCTTGTGGGGCAGGATGAAGAGGAGGGAGTCTGTTGTGTCGATTGGGCGGCAGCAGCACTCAAAGAAGCAGCAACAGCAGCACAGAGCAAGACAATCTTGCTCCGTGACTTTGAGAAATCACAAGGCAGAGGATACTAGAATCATGAGGCAAATAGTGCATCGTTTTTGTGACTGATTTATCTTACACTCCCCTCCCACCCATGCATCGTCCTCCGAAAGCAGGTGAGCAGCAGCCTAACATGAGCCACCAGAGAGCCACCACATACTTTTCATGTGCTTGACTACAGGTTTCCTATTCGGATCACAATGCTGTGGTTGATAGAGACTTAAAGACAATTGTTGCCTTCCCCTATGTTTTATTCCCCAGGCTTTTAAATTTTAATACTATCACCTCTTCCTCCCATTTTGCAGATGAGGGCACTGAGGCTGCCCTCAGTGAGCTGTAATGTTTCCCCCTGTTATTCTCCTGGCTTTCCGGAGGACACGGGCATGTGTGTGTGTGTAGAAGGATGCTAAGCGTAGGGCAGGGCCTCTTACCCGTTCCTGTGTGTGTGCAGGTGAGCAGCTGCCCTGCCGCGTGCTGACATGATGACAGCCAGCCAGGCAGGCGACGTGAGCAGCAAGCCTGAAAGCAGTCTCTGCCAGTCTGGTGAGAGGTAAGAAACTCTGTTTCAGTACTGAGATACTTTTGTTTTGCTTATTTTCCATAGTGGAAACAAAACCAAAGGACTGTCTCTCCCTCCTCACACCTTAGAACATGCCTCAGTGTGTCTCTTACTGCCATCTTGGAGCTGTTGCACTGCTTTAGCATCCTGACAGACTGAGAGTGCCCCAGACTTGCAGTAGTGGAAGAGATCCTCCCCAAAGCGAGACTGTTTCTGCTGATGACCTCTCTGTCAAAGTGTGCCTAGCCTGAGCTTGAAATCTTCAGCACAGGAGACTCCGTGGCCTCCTCAGGCAAGCCTGACTGTCAACCCATAGCAGTTTTGAGCCAGTGTTCAACCTTGGTCTCTGCTGTGCCATCCAACAAGCAGCGCTCTGCACTGCTGCTCTGCTCCCTGGGAAGGGTTGGTGCTGCCCAGGAGTGCCAGCCCTTCTCCAGCGCATGGTGTCCCTGAGCTGGGCAGGAGTTAAATGTCTGGGAGGCTAGGGAAGAACAGTGCCTGGCTCAGGTCCTCTTCCTGTTCCATAGCCTGTCCCAGGCTCAGTTCACACTGCAGCTGAGCCCGTAAGGGCTGCTGGCGTTGCATGGTGCCTGCCCATGCACATGGCATCCCGATGGATTCTCCTAGGGCAGTGCTAAGTTCAGGACTAGGCACGCTTGGTGCATTCATGTTAGAGAGAAATTCAGTGAGTTAAATCTCAGTGCTAGATTTGTGGTTAAATTGGACTAACTATAGGGGTTTGCAACTCCTTCGCGTTGTCCTCGTGTCCCTTTCCAAGCCCTTATAAGCCCCTACAACATTGCAAAGTGCTGAGAAATACTTTAATTCCAAAACATTTTGTGCTGGGGTAACTGCTATTCTTTCCAGCTGGAACTTTACTGTATAGATAAAGTATCATAATATTGATAGAAGCATTTAGAAATCCACAGAAGAAAGATATTAGGGATTTTTGATGCAGCTTGAACTCCATGTGTTTTATCCATTGCTCTGAGAAAGTTGCATTTAGTATCTAGGTGTTGCACCATGTGCCATATAGAGAGGAAGTGTGTCTGGGTGCACACAAGCCTGAGCTCGTGTGCAGACTGGACAGTAGGGCCATTGAAATGTAATAATAAAAGTCTAGGTTTTGTACCCGGATTTACACTTTGGGAATGCTTGGGTGAGTGCAGATGGAAGCCCCTGAGCAGGCTCTAGAGGAATGCTGGCTCCGTCATGTGCTTTCTACTGTCTAACAGCAAAAAAATTGCTATTGTTTGCAGATGGTTCATTTTGCATTTATTTGCAATGGACATGGTTAATGCCCCGAATATGTACAGAACTGTGCTATACTCCTAAACACGTGCACAAAAATGCTGGTGAACATGTCACTGGTATCAGTATGTCTGATCTACAAAAATTAGTACTTATCCCCTGCCACTTCTGCACTAGAGAGAGGTCACATTTCAAATTTAGTCAAAACAAGGGGATATGGGTTTTTTTTTTTTTTCTGGCTATATGGACCATTCCCTGAGTATTCTCCCACATAAGACTCCTTTGAAGTGTTTGGGTTGGATATCTCAACTGTTACCAGCTTTCTGAATGGAATTTTTTGAGCAGATGGTCTAATGCAAGGGTGAGCCGTGATAATGAAAGTTTCTTCTTCTTTGTCTCTGATACGCAGGATCAAGCTTGCAGATAAGACAGCTGCTGTGAAGGAGCCACAAAGCCCGTTTGTGTTTTCCGGTGAGAGATGTTCTGAGGGCGCTTCCGCCAGCCCGAATTTAACACCTGAAGCTGTAAAGTTTCTTCTTCTCTGTCTCTGATACACAGGATCAAGCTTGCGGATAAAAACAAGACAGCAGCTGGGAGGGAGCCACAAAGCCCGTTTGCGTTTTCCAGTGAGAGATGTTCTGAGGGCGCTTCTGCCAGCCCGAATTTAACACCTGAAGCTGAACCAGTTTCTTCTGCGGTGAAGAACCCACTGGGAGCCTTGGAGAACTTGATGCTGGATCCAAGGCTAGACTGCTTCCAGCAGAACATGCTTAGTCCCAAAATGATCATCAGTGACCCATCTGTGGACCTGAATGTTAAAGAAAACAGTAAAATCATCAGGAGGCAGATAGGAGGCACTCAGAACATATGGTCACCTGGAAAAATTGGCTTGAGGAATAAGTCCTTCAGCATCAAAGACAAAATCTCAGAATGGGAAGGGAAAAAGGAAACACCTTGTGCTCCTGCCACTCGCAGAGAAGAGGAGCAAGGAGTTAAAGAGGAGCACAGGGTACCCTGTGTAATTGAGAAGACAAGTGGGACAGCGTTTGTGACTCGTAAAGTGGAGACCAAGAGACTTCTGAACCAGGAACTAGAGTGCAAAAGGATGGGCAAAGAGAACGAGCAGAAAGTAGGAGCTCTGAAAGGCATGGGGCAGGGAACAGAACGAAGGGGGGAAACAGAGAAGGATGAAGAAGTGGAGCCCAGTGTTGGAAAATGCAAAGAGGTAAAGAGTGGGAAATGGGAGGTCCAGAAGGAGAATCTTTCAGTGCTCAGCCAGGTGAAAAAGCTGGAGCAGGCTTTGAAGGATGGCTCAGCAGAGCTGCAGCCTCAGTTGCCGGGTACTTACTACTCCCCTCAGTGCCTGCAGGAGAAGGCAGCACAAGTACCCGCTAACCCTGATGGCCATGAGAGCACGTACGGAGCTGAACTCAACAAAAGGCTCCTTGGCTTGGACTCGGAAATCAGTGAGCCAATTTTTGGGACTTTAGAAGAGGTAAGAACTTCTCAGGCGAAGCACAAAGACTGCACTGTGGAGAATGTGTACACAGAGCCAGGAGTCCCAGAGAAGAAACCCTTCATAAACCCGTTGCCAAAGCCCCGTCGGACTTTCAAACACGAGGGGGAAGAGGACTGGGTGCCAACAACTCGGAATAAAAGAAACCTACCCCCTCTGCCGTCCATTCCTCCCCCTCCTCTCCCTTCTTCTCCTCCCCCTTCAGCCGTCAGCAGAAGGCTCTGGAATGGAAAGCACAAGAACAACGCCGACCACAGGTATGCAGGCTGCTGTGTGCGTGTGTGCTGGTCTTGATGGTGGGGTCCCACCTTCCCCTATCTCAGCAGGACAGATAGATGTTCCCTGGTCACTCATAATTGCTAGTTGGCCAAGCAGTCTCAGCATGACTTGAGAGTCGTGCTGGCCATAACTCAGGGCTCAATTACAGCCCAGAACGGATGAGAGGTGAGCAGAAGTTCACAGGACAGCTCTGAGGAGGTAAGTGACCACAGATTGGGCTTTAAGGTTACACTGCTGGGGGCTGTGACTGTATTACCTAGCTTAACCTTCAAGCCCAAGGCTGAGCGGGGTTTGTGCATGTCTGCCCGTGTGTAAAATCTGATTCCTTGAAGAATAAACATAGCTTATCTGGAGCCAGGTTTGGGCTGGTAAGTTCTCAACTCTCTCATGGTGTTTTCACTGTTGATAGCAGATGTATTCTAACTGCATCTGATGTTTTTATATTTTTCTGGAGCATTTTATTGTCATTTCTCCCTGACCCCCAGAGTTGTAATCCCACTCATTTTGGGCTGAGGAGCCTAAAATTGAAACTTTCTGGGTTTGATTATTGAATAGACTTGTTTAGAATTGTTTTTCCCCTTCCTATCGTCCATCATATGAGGATTTCTCTCCTGTACTGTTTGAAAGGGACCTTACTCTTGCTGAGAGTGGGACTTCTGCTGTAAATGGGATCTCTCATGACCTGAGACCCTATGCAGTGTTAACAGGACGCTTGACACATCCTCACAGTGAGCTATTGCCATGCAACCCAAATAAGCTACATAATCCCTGGAACATCTTCATCTGTGTGGCTGGTAAAAATAACAGATCTCATATGGTTATTTTTCACGCTTTATATGGGATGGGATGTGAAATGTTCCCTTCTCACCAATTCATTTTTTTGACTGTGAGGCGCGCAGCAGAGCAGTGAGCTATAAAGTGTTATGGTTTGTTTCCAATAGCTGCTCAGCCATGTCACTGTCCTCTGTGTTGCCTTTCCCCTCCCACCCACGGTGCAGGAAGTCGTACGAGTTTGAAGACTTGCTGCAGTCGTCCTCGGAGAACGGCAGGGTGGACTGGTACGCGCAGACCAAGCTGGCCCTCACACGCACTTTATCTGAGGAGAACGTCTACGAGGACATCCTGGGTAGGAGCCTTGCACGGGGGAGGGATTTCACTGCAAACACTGAGTAACTCGGAAGACTTGTGGTCAACAGGGACCGACCAGAGGAACTGAAGAAAGTGCGTTTGTTATCCAAATGCAAAATAAGACGTGCTTTACATGGATTATTGGCAAGTAGTAAGAAATATGAGCAAAATATTTCATAACTTCTCAGGTTCAAAGACAAAGCCGAGGCACATGGGAGTCAGTTTTTATTCTCTGCTGACATTTGTCCTGTATCTACCTTTTGTCCTAAGGAGTATTTCTCAGAGTTCTGCTCCATCCCTTGCAATGAACTTGTTACTGTGGAGATAATGCTACAGACTGAAAACATAGCCTTGAAGTAAACTCCACAGGATTGTACCGCCAGAATTAAAAAGCTAGATGCTACAGTCTTGAAAATTGAATTTTATCTCACTCTCCAACTTGGAGGGCAAATCAGTGCCATTTCCGAGATTGTTTTCCCTAATACTCTCCATTTGTACAGTGTGTTTTTAGTACAGTGAGTTAGATGGCCTTTTATGGAAGAATAGAAGCCCAGAGTAGAAGTATCCTTTCGAAAAAAGCTTACTAAGTTTTAGTAGCTGTAGGCTGGTGTGAAAGGCTCTTGGCTAAGTTTAGCCAAATAGAAAGAGAACAGGAACAGAAAAGCTGCATGAGCTCTCACCCTACAGCTGTTATTCCAGAAAGGTGGCCTGTGTTGTTCAGTGTGGGAGGCAGCTGCTCTTTCTCAGGAACGGTCAGTGCTTTATTTTGTTCTGTGCAAAATCTCATCAGATCTGGTTAGAAAGGTCTCTCAGAGGAATCTCAGTTGTTTGGGACTGTTTGCAGTCAGGGCGATGCCAGGCTGTCCTTTCTGACACTTCGGAAGCTATCTGCCTCTCTGCCTTTGGAGGTAGAGGCCTCATATTTGCCTTTTTCCGCTCTTCATTTTGGGGGACAAAGGGAGAAGGAAGGCCTGAGCAGCTGCTTGTTTTTTCTTTTTTTCTTTTCTTTTTCTTTTTTCCTTTTCTCCCCACGCTTTTTCCCCCCTGGGTCTCAGAAGCCAGTGTATAAGGGTCACCTTCTCAGCTGCAATAACAGGGATACTGTTACAGAGTGACTGTATTGGCAAATCTGTCCACTGAAACACACACGTGCCTGCCTGTCCCAGCCTTGCAGGGAACTCCAGTTCCAGGCTAAAAATCCTCTCCCCTTCAGCTTTTTAGTGCAAAGACTAGGAGAAAGTGAAGTTGTGGATAATTGTCAGCTTTAGCTACTGAGGCACACATAGGTTTTTGTTTCCGTGCTGTAGATTTAGGCTTTGCCAGGAGTTCGTGGTCTTTATTGGCTCCCGCAGTCCCTGTGGTGTTACTGTGAGGGAAAGGGGTGGGCAGGGTGGCTCCAGCAAACATACAGTTATGTTTTGCACAAGACCACAGGTGGGGAGAGTCCCCAGAAGATAGGCAATGTGTGAAAACCACACGTAGGGAGGAGGACGAGGACTTCTGGCACTGTTCAGCCTGTCCTTCAGCTGTAGAGCGCCAGTGCTGTCCACAGAAGATCACGTGTGTCCATGAGGGCATGCCAGCACCCACATACCTCCCCTGTGCACACGTGGGCTTTAGGGAGGTACAGCTCATGGGAGGAGAACGGCTCCCTTTCGCAGCAAGTCACAGAGATCCCCTTCCTCATCCTCCGTTTACCCATTCACTCTTGTTTGCCTGGAATGCTGAAAATTGCATTGGGCAGGCGGATGTCCAGGCTTGCTTGTGAGAAAGAGCACAGCTAGGATCATTATGCTAGACTGAATCTGCCCGGACACACGGCCAAACAGTGTGAAGATGGGGTGGGCAGCAGAACCCCAGCTCTTTGCTCCAGTGTGCCAAGTACGGGGCAGCTGAGCTGTCTCCTGCACTGAAATGTGCTCCTAGAACAGACAGCTTCTTCCAGGGGCAGGAGCACATTTACTGCCAAGATATCTGCAGAGACTTCCTTCATCAGCATCACAGTGACTTGCCTTCCTCTCCCTGCCTTCCCACTCCTCCTCGCTGCCACTGAGCTATGGAGGGCACTGCAGCCAGTGCTGGGAAAGGCTCGTGTCTGTGCCTGTGTCCGTGTCCTCGTCCGATGCCTTCAGCGCACTGCTGCCGCGGCAGGGCAGGCAGGCGGGAGCGCGACGGGCAGAGAGACCGTCGGGCCCCATAGGACCCCCTGCCCAGAGGCCAGCAGTATTAATGGCCTCCAGTCTTTGCTGACAGACAAGCGTTACACAAAAACAAGAGAAACGCGGTTGCTTTGGCTTCCAGACGTCCACCAGGATGGCACGAAAGGACAGTAGTGAAAAGAGAAGGCTCATAACAAATTGCCAGCCCATGACAGTGCTTGGGCTGAGACTTTGTTGCAGATTTTTGGCTGCTGTGATGGGAATACTACAACCTTGTCTTTCAGACTGCACATTTCTTTGAAGACTTTTGTGTTTGTTTTTTACAACCCTGCTTAAGAGTGGGATGTAAGGAGTTCATTATACCTAATTTTGGACATTTCAAATCAGACTAGTCATGTAGCCTGTCTCCAGACTCAGTGGAGAGAGAGGGGGACGTGTCTGGATAGTCATTCAAAACTCATATTTTTGAGGGAATCCTATGCAAGGATGGGCTGAATGTTACTTCAGAGGTGTCTCCGTTTCTTTCTGTCCTCTGGGAGAGAGTAACTTCCCTTCACTTTGGATGGCCGAAGCGAGGTGAGGTGGATGCTTCCCTTGGTGTCTGCAGTGGGGCATGCAGCAGCTGCAGCGTGCAGGAGTGGGAGGTGCATCTGAAAACCTCTGCTGGGTGACGGGCATCTGCACACAGGGAACGGGTTAAACATTTCTGCAGGCTCAGCCCAGCAGCTCCGGTTAAGTGATGGCCAGACGTTCCCCTTTAGAGTGGGGTCTAGAAAGAGGAGAAAGGAGCTTTCTGCTAGTCTTCAACTCACAGCTTCATTCAAAGAGAATTCAAAGCAAAAGGCTGGAAAGAAGGAAATATAATTACGGGACAATGTGCATGAGAACCTCACAGCTCCTCTGAAGACAGGGAAATGAACTTGAGAACTTGCTGGGTCTTTTCCATCTGCAGTTTCTGTGATATGTTCCTATGGCTGCATACATCAGTGTCAGGGTTTGGACACTGTCCAGTGAGCAGCTGGACGTCTAGGGCTATGGAGAGGATGAAGCAATAGCAGGACTGCTTGAGAACAGGTCTTTGTCTGATGTGGGAGGTGGGAGAAGGCCAGCAGATCCCCAAACAGATTTTTATGGCAAACCTCAAGGATTTTCTGCACTTGTAATCCCTTGCATGTGGCTTTTTGCTTCAGATCCACCATCAAAGGAAAACCCCTACGAAGACATTGAGACCAACAGCCGCTGTTTGGGGAAGAAATGTGTCCTGACCTTCCCAGCATCGCCCACCTCCTCTGTACCTGGCACCCCCACTAAGGTACTTCAGTTCATCTGGCCATACCTCCTGGCCCAGGAAGCCTTTGGGTGGAATCCTGCTCCTGTGTGGAAAAAGGGAAGTTTGCCACTGACTGTCAGAACATAAGGGATTTTTTTTTCTTTACATCTTAATCACTGCAGAGTGGGTTGTGACGAGGGATTTATTGTCCTTCAGCAAGATAAAAACATCATTCCCTTACTGGAATGGTTTCTTGGCTTTTGTTCTGTTTCACAGCAGGGCTACCTTCCCCTGGTACTGGGCATCAGGCATGCACTGACTAGTGAGCGACTGGATCAGAAGGGACTGAATTCTTTGATGTCACACTGGGCTTCTAGGCAGCTGCATCCCAAAACTAATGTGATAAAAGGAACATTTTTTAAATGAATGTATGTTCCCAGCAAAATCCTTCTGTGTCCCTGTACCCTGAGCAATTTGTGCAATAAATGTAAAGCAAGAAAAGAGCATATTTGGATTTCAGCCAATTCATGTGTGCAAAGAGTACAGGAGTGTCCAGCTGGAGCCGTTAGCCCCTCTCCTTTAGAAGCCTGCCTTCAGACTCTTAATACATTTGGAGTGAGGATGGGCTCAGATTTCATCCTGCTCTTGCTGGAACAGGTGGATTAAGGGGCTATAGACTGGGAATCTGGAGATGAGTGTATTCATATTAATGGGATGGTTTGCATTTGGGTTTTAGCTCTGATTCCATAGGAAAAAAACCCAGTGCGTCTCCTAAGTGAAAGGCTAGAGCATTCTCAAGGAGGCTGCTCAGAGGGCATTGGCAGAGCTGTGGATGAAAGCTGGCTGCTGTGGTTTTGGTCTCGGGCCTGTACTGAGCCAATACTGAGATACTAAATTTCATCCAGATACTGAAAAAATAGGGGCTCTTTACTGCAAAATAGAGTCTTCTCCCTTTATTGCAGACCCCAGGAAGCCCTCCCGTGCAGGACAGTTCTCCCCTCCCTCACAGTGTGTCTATCTCAGTGCTTGCTCAGCCCAAGGCTGCAGTCTCCTGCCTCCACATCTCTGGGCAGCCTGAAGTCTGTTCACACAGACTCCGAAGAACCTCTGCAGCCCCCTCCTTTAGGGTGGCCCCGTTCTCTCCTTGAAGACACTGGTTGCTGGCCCCTAAGGCAGTGTCAGTCCCCCGGTTAGGGAGCCAGCTCTGACTATGTGGACTCTCTTGTTTCCTGACCAGCGGTGCAGCTCACAGCCCAGGACTGTTTTCCTCCTTGGCAGGGAGAGCAAAAGGAGAGGCTGGTCTGCACCTTTTGCCCAGAGCTCATGGCTTACGGAGGGCCAGCCCTGCTCTCCGCTTCCCGAGCTGTTTTGGTTGGTTTCTGCTCTCCATTTAGATAGTCCAGGTCCAAAACAGCATGGGCAGTGGGACAAACAGAAATCATCCTGGCAACAGTTGGGTTCACAGCAGATAGCAGGGATCTAGACATGGCTTTCATGACCAGAGGGTTTTCCCATGCTCTCCAAGCTGCAACTATTATTAGAGCTGTTGCCCAACATCTTCAGAAGCTTGACATGCAGGATTTCCTAGCATGTTACTGTTTTCCAACCAGTTTAATCAGAAGCTGATAGATAGTTTGACACTTTAAAGTAAAAAATTGCCTCACAGGTCTCAATCCGTTCTCCTTGTTACTAGTTAGGACCAGAGCATCATGGATTGCCAGTGCTGGAAAAAATGACTTCCCCCAGAGGACTTTGTAAGGGTCTGTGCACTCTTTTTTTTCTCCACTCATGCTATGAAAATGGTGCATCAGTGTTGCACAGGTGTGTTTTGCACCCTAGATAGGGTTCTCAGCAGGACAGGTAACAAGGAGCTGAATGGGAGTAACTCCGATCCCCTGGGGTGCTTCGACATCCAAAAGCTGTGGTCCACAGCAGGGAGGAAATAGGTGGAAGTGCAATGGGAGTTGCACTGGAGAGCCTGCCTGGGCTAGGGGCTCACACAAATGTGTTTGGGCAGACTGTTCAGAAGCAGATTGTATCACTAGTGCAAGAGTCTTCAACCTGTAGACTCTTCTAAACCCATCAATAAGTTCTTATGGATCGTTGTTGTGCTGGGAGATCATTTACCTTCCTTTATCTGCAGCTGAACTTTTAACTTCTCTGTTGCTGGTTTTGGTCAGAGGCTTTGAGAACTTTATGTTGGTACTTCAGTATCTACTGTGGTGCTCCTTCTGAATTTACTGATGGGTGTAGGAGGAAACTGATCGCCATTATTGCCTATTATGATATTTTCTTGTATCTTCCTTTGAAATATTTGATTCTGGCCACTGACAGAGACAGAATATTGGGTCAGGCTGACCACACTTCTCGTGGTCTCACTGCTTCTCTGTGCCTCTTGACCAGCAACTCCTTATGCCAAATGCTTGTGGTTAACAGATTGGTTAGTCTTGTCCTGTTTACTGTCCAAGCCTTTGTATTGCACAAGTCTCGGGGGGTTTTTCAGGCCTCTTGGCCAACCCCTAGGATTGTGTTCTCTTCTGGAATGAGTATGTGATGGTTAAATTGCTTGTCAAATAGTCCTGGTGTGGCTCTGGAAATTGGGTGAGTTTTTCACATGTGCAGAAATCTGTTTGCATTCCAAGAAGCTGTGCCATTTTGCCAGCTGAGTGCTGTGCTTGCCTCACTAGACTTACTGTCCGTGACAGTGTTAGCGGCAAAGCAGAGGTACATGAAGTTCTGTGTTCATGCGTTCCTTCTCCTCTGTTTTCGTCTCCAGTTGCTTTCCAAGCCCATTTTTTTCCGACAAAGCTCAGAGCGGCGGAGTTTCAAACTGCCAGATATTCGGAAACTAAACCGTGATGGGACTGGGTCACCATCCAAAATCAGCCCTCCCTCAACCCCCAGCAGTCCAGATGACACCTTCTTCTCCCTGGGAGACCCTCAGAATGGCAAGAGGAGAAGGAAGATTCCCAAGGTAACTCTAGGGATTTCTCTCTTTTGCTTGGCCTCTCCCAGGCAGGAATGTATGAGAGAAAGTTTTCTTCAGCTTCCAATCTGGTGTCCCTGCAGAATAGCTGTTGTCCTTCCCATTCACTTGACTCCTGTTTAACCTCCTTTCTCCCTGAAGGAGAAAAAGGACAAACATCTCTGCAAGCCTTAAAGTTATTTTTCTATTTGAGTTCTATCTATTGCGGTTGTCAGGAAGAATTAAAAAAAATAGTTCAATTTTTGGACAAAACTTGAATTTCATCATAGTGGGGGAAAAGCAAAGAATGTTTTGTGAAAAAAAAAAAGAAAAAGAAAACAAAAAAACACCATCTTGTCACTAATGGTCTGTGTGTACTGTTGGTATTCCTGCTAGCTGTCTGTCCGATTCATGCATTCAAGGTGGGGTGTGAGTTCAGATGAACAAAGGAAAATGTGACATTTGAGTGACCAAAGGAGTTGTCTGTAGTCACGGGCATTTCCTACTAGCATCATCTCCCATTTCATTTTTGGATACACTATGACTCCGTTTCAATTTTATTTTCTTCCAGATCTAGCAGGAAGTGTATTTAGTTCAAGAGAGGTTTGGCAGCCAGCTATCTATTGAACATTTCAAAAACACAGTTATAAAAACATGGATGCTCATCCTAGTCTTTGCAGAGGCTACCCAGGCCTGCCCGTGGTGGTTTTTTTTCTGTTTTTTTCCTGATGACCAGATCTGTGTTCATATTTGTGTATCAAACACCGTCACTGTTCACCTTAGCTCTTCAGGGATGAGCCCATGGCCACACAGGTCTAAGGTTTTATTTCTTTGTGTACTTACACTTCTGTGTATGTGTTCGAGCTCTGTCTGAGTATGTGTTTGAGCACTTAGGTTTATGTCAAGTGCTGTGCAGGTAAGGCTACAAGTGTGTATTTACCGGGCAATGCCTGCACACAGTCCCACAGAACAAGCTCGGAAGTGAGATTTATTGGGTGCAGAGGCAAGACCAACATGAGAGCTGAGCTGAGCTGGCAAATAGAGGCCATACTTCTACACCGGAGAATCCTGCCACTTGGAAGTTTGTTTTCAGATTCCTCCAATCCAATGTGTCCTGGGTCAGCAGGCAGCTCTGTAACGCTGCCTGCCTCCCCTGGGTCTCTCAGCGTGTGCGCTTGCGAGCACAAGGGGCTTCAAACTTTCTGGAGTAAATCTGAATGCCGTGGCCATGTCCTGCTGCTCCTGCCTGGCAGCCTGACAGGGAGCCACCTCTGCGCGAAGGGGCCCAGGACACCTGACACGCTCCTCCTGCAGCTCCTCTCCTCTTCATGGAGGGCTAAGGGCCCAGGAGGCACTGAATGAGCTACTGGGCACAGCCGTGCCCAACAACAAAATGGCCTTCCTCCTGGTTTGCTGGAAGGCCCAGCATTAAAGGGTTTGCACAACCAAATCACTAGTCCTCTCCACCCTGCGTCCTCATCCCTTGGATCACAAGGTCATACGATCACAGGATAACTTGGCTAGGAAGGGGCCTTAGGAGGTTTATGGTCCAAACTCGTGCTCAAGGCAGGATCAGCTCTGAGCTCAGACCAGGATGCTCAGGGCTTTACCTACTTGGGGCTAGTAAACCTGCGAGGATGGAGATGGCACAACCTTTCCGGGCACTGCGTGGCTGTCCTTAACGTGGAACAGTGTGTCCTTAAACCCAGCCCGCACCGCGGTGGCCAGGAGCTGTGCTTGTTGTCCCTCACCCTCCCCTGCTGCGTGGGGCCGCCTCCTTGCAGTGACCCGTCGCGGGGGCTGGGGCTGCTGTGGGCGCTCCCACAGCCACCTCTTCCCAGCGGAGCGAGCCCTGATCCTGTGGCCTCCCCTCGCTGCAGAGGGAGCCACCCCAGCCCATTATTCCCTATGTCTTCCCTGCGCTGTGGCGGGGGCTAAACTAGAGCCCGGATGGCTCCGCATTTGAGCCAAAACAAGGAGAAGAGCCTGTGCCAGGCCGCTTTGGGGAGCCCTTAGGTTGTGTGGTAACCACTGCGTCCTCCTCCCAGCAGACAGTGCCTCACGTGCCAACAGCAGCTTCCCCCCAAGTAACCCTGCATGGGCTTGACATAGACATATCTCAGTCTCTCAGAGAGGAAGGTAAATTTTCAAGAGAAGTATGACTTTGTCCAGGGAAGACACTAACCTTTTCTTGTTTGTTTGTGTGTTTGCTGAGCAGCTTGTATTGAAAATCAATGCTATTTATGAGGCACGGAGGGGAAAGAAACGTGTCAAGAGACTATCGCAGTCTACAGAGAGCAATTCAGGGAAAGGTAAAAGAACTTTGAATCATCATTCATCTAAGACTTTCTGAGGACTTGTCTAGGAGTTTATGCTGATGATTTATGTGATGTTTTTCTATCACTTCTTCCAGCGCAGAGTTAGCCTGAGTTGGGGCTTCTACCCCCTTTTTTTGGAAAGCCAAAGACTGTTCCATCACTCGAGAGGTTCACCTTTCCTGAAAGGGCAGTTTTTTGCTTTTCTTGATTCGTTTTCATTCCACTCTTCTCCATGAGTGGAATGAAAATGTCTCCTCTTTTTGATGTTTATTTCTGGAACTGGCTGAAAGCTTTGCAGAGGAATGTTCTGTCCAAAGAGGCTGATCTGTTGAGATCAAAATATTTTTCAAGAATGTGTCACTTTACTGAACTGTCCAATGGCAGATGATAGTTTTTGAAATGGGCCTGGTTTCTTCAGCATCCCAATAAACAAATAACATCTTTTGGGAATCAGCGTTTCTAGGCTCTTCACTGTAGGACCATCTCCACCCTCTCAAGAGTGAGACTTTCAGCCCTCCCCTGTCAACTGAGAAGTCTTAAAGCTTAGGGGTTCGCTCCTGGCTCATCAGAACTATTCAGAATCAAAGTTCAGAGCTTACTTCAGAACAATTATTTCTAAATGTCTCTTCTCTGTAAACTTTAAAATTATGTCTTTCCGATGCAATATTTTTTTTTCCAAAACATAATTTCCAGTGCATGGTGACTTCCAGCTCTGTTTGTTTCCTACAATTACTTGTTCATATTTATCCTGTGTTACATGTAACCTTTGTGTGTGTCTGTGTGTGTATGATGTTGTGTGTGTATGTCTCTATATAAGAATGTGGATGAATTTTCAGGGAAAGGAGCAGCATCATAGACTGGCTTCTGCAATATTTTCAACCCATCTCTGCAGTATCAAATGCTGCTGATCACTGTTAAAAAGGGTCTAGCAGCCCCTAGAGACCTTATGTTTGATTCACTCTGTCAACTGGCTTTTCCCCCCTTGTTCTGCAAGCAACACACAATTGTATTTAAGCTAAACACATCTATCAGTATTTTGCCTCGGTTGTGCTCATACAGGCATGAGCAAAATGCTGCTTTTGCATTTTACTCCTCATGCAATTCTCCTGCTGTGTAAAATTATTGTGTTGCATTTTTCCAATCCCCTGAATGAACAGAACGTAGTGGTTTGGTGAGTGAAGTGTTTGTGGGTATGTGCATCCTTGCATCCTTGGATAAGATCTCAGTATCTATGCTGTTTGCCTTGCTAAAGCTGCTAGGTTTGACTTTAACTTGTCAGTGATAAGAAACACACTATTATACTTCATCTTCCCCTGTCTTTTTTTTCCTAGTTACAGATGAAAACAGTGAATCAGACAGTGATACTGAAGAGAAGCTGAAAGGTAAGGGAAATACAAGCTCTCCTCAGAGTTCCTGGGGTGGTCAGGATCTCTCTTTGCTCTGACTTTGCAGAAAGAGTTTGTTTCAAAGCAGAGTGCAGAGAAAACGAAGACTTCAAAACTGCAGGGGGAAATCCACAGGCAAAGGACTATAGGAGTCTAAATCTAGTGTCTGTGCTGATTCCCGTCTGAGCTTTTTACACTGGCTTTCACAGGAAGTGCCTTAGGCACCATGGAAGTGCTCTAGGTATTCCTGCTTGAGCAGGAGGGTTGCACTACCTGATTTCTAGAGGATCCTTCCAACCTTGACCATTCTGTGATTCTGTGAAAGTGGAGGGAGTACAAGGGCACAAGTGTGTGAACAGTTTATCAGAGGCAGCATCCCAAAAGAAGAGAATGTCCAAAGCTTCACTACGTATTCACTAGGGGAGAAAACTCACAAACCAGACTGATGAGCTAGAAAACTGGCATTCCACTATATAATTTATTGTTAATTAAGTTCTTCTGCATTTGCTGAATTATGATGAAGTGCTGCAGTGTTTGCTTCACTTCAGTGGAGGTGTGTGGTATATTGGTCTCCAGACTATTCATCTCAAGCCTTCTCGAACTGGTAATCAGCCTTGTGACATGTTGGTGGCAGTAGTCTTGTAGGGATTTATACAGCAAATTAAAAAATCCCAACAGAGTCACAATGCAATACTGAAACTCCTTCAGATTCCAGAGTATCCTGATTCCAGTCCAGATACACACCTGGTCTGGGCAGCTGATCTGTTCCCAAGCTGAAAAGCCAGGGATAAGCAGCAGTTCCCACTCTATGTCAACACAGTGGGTTGTGCTTGGGAGTGCTCCTCCTCACCCTCTTTCATGCTTTCAAAACAGAAAGAACAATCTGAGTTCCCTCATGTGTTTGTGAGCACCACTTCCCGTGCAAGAGCTCCTGTGTGCCTGTTTTTGCTTGTACTGTCATTGGGAAACTTGGTCTCCATACAAAATGAAACAGGAGAGCTCGGGAGATCTTCAAGCCATCAGTTCTGACCCTGAATGAGTCCCAACCTGATGTTTTTTTGTTGGAGATTGAACATGAACGTACATAAATCCAGAGAGAGGACCATTTTCTTTTGCAGCTAGGAACTGCTTGTGGAGGGGGTGCAGAGTCACCCCAAGTCTGACAGCACTGGCCTCTGAGCAATGTCCACATCCATACTTGGATCTGAGTGACCGTGATAAAAGCCTCCATGTGTAGAAAAGTCTGGCTGGGAGCGTTGGTACGCAGTAACCAGTTGCTCCAGCTCCATCTGTGCTGCGTTCTTCCCCTTATCGCATTGTGAACTTTCGTCTTTTTAAACAATAGGAAAGTGAGATGATTTAGCAAGTGTTTGCGGGGAGGAGAAGGGGAGACTTTCCATTTCATAAGTTTCACTTAACGGAGCAAACTAACCGGCCGGTTCCCACTGCTTTGCAAGTCACTGTGCATCATCTGAGACACAGTAAATCATCAGACTGCAGTCATGGGGCTGCATGTCAGAGCCATGTGAACCGACCCTGGGGAAGGGAAAACGCTCACAGGCGAGTGCTGCCATGATGACAGCAGTACATTCCCGGTATCTTTGGCAGGTTGCACAGAATATAAACAGGCAAAGCTTGAGTGGGCTTTTCAGGAGCACTCACCATTGCTCTGACACCACTTCTTTTGAAGTCCCTGGTAAAATAGGGATCGCTTCTGAAAGCTTCTCAAGAATTACAGCCTTAAAGCAAATAGTGTAATAGCTGATGAGAGAAAGGAGACTAAGCCATCCTTCCAGGGCTTTTACTGCCTAGGGACTGTTTAACTCTTTGCTGTAATTCAAAAGGCATCTTGAAAGTGCTCTGAGTTATAATGTCTGAAATAGTCCATGAGTGGCACAGATCAAACAGACCAAGAGTCAAGAGTCTGTCCTAAAGTTTGTACTGTTTCCCAGGAAGCCCCGTCTTCCAAGCAGACCACTTTTATTTATTTGGTGTTTCTGCCAGTGGTGCTTGTTTCTGTCAGGAGCATCACACTGCCACCCACTTCAGCAAAAGCACATTTGGGGGAAGCGTGCTGTCGTCTCTGCTCGTAGTTAACGTTTTTCTTTTGTAGTGGAGCAGGGGAGACTCGTGAAGATTGAGTTGGGGATGCAACTGTAAAGCACGCGGGGGGATGGTTGTGGGGAATCTCATCTGGTCTCTTCCCAGCAGGCAGCTTTTCATTACTTTCCATGCTGGAATGTTTATTGTCCCACAGCTCATATGTGTTGCAGTTAGAGCTTGCTTGGCAGATTTGCTCGTTTTCCCATTGTCTTGGGTGAATTTGTAGAAACACGGTCCTGAGAGATTAGCTTTAGGCACAGGAAGAGCTGGCAGGAGGCAGCCTTTTTCATTTGCACCTCTTCTCGTGTTTTCTGTCGTTGGCCTGCAGCCCAGGCCATGTTATTACAACTTGGGAGTCCCCAGCATTACTCACCCAATTCAGCCCTAGACTGACCTAGTGTTTAAGTGCTGGGCTTGTAAAACTGGGGATCACTACCCACAATCTCCTCCGAACAAGGAGGATCAGCTGCAGAACTGTGCTTGCTTTGACTGAGACACAAACGAGGACTAACACGAATGTCCAGACATTGTGTGTCACTGTGTGTGACATCTGCATCTCACTTGGGCTTGTCTTCACCTGTGAAAGCCATTCATTAAACCCTCCTCCTGCCGCAGTTGCACAGGCTCCTCCAGGTGGGTGCACATCCTCACCATCCCCCTCCACGTGTGTTTGAGCAGCTCCTGTCTCCAGGGTGACGGTGCTCACGAGAGAACGTCCCCTGTCACTGCGCTGCTTTGTCAGTCCTCGTAGTGCAGCTCCCAGGTGGTTCCCGCTCCTTGCTGAGGCGCCGTCACAGTGAACGCAGCGAGATGGTGGTCCGGAAGGGGCGGACACAGTGACAATCTCCTGACATTTTCTCTGCAGCTCACAGCCAGCGCCTGGTGCATGTGAAGTCTCGCCTGAAGCAAACCCCGCGGTACCAAACCTTGGAACGGGACCTCATTGAGTACCAGGAGCGGCAGCTGTTTGAGTACTTTGTCGTGGTGTCGCTGCACAAGAGGCAGGCCGGGGCTGCCTATGTCCCTGAGGTTACCCAGCAGTTCCCATTGAAGGTGAGGTGCCTGGCAGGAGCCTCCTGGCTCCTCCATCATGTGCTACAGAGCTTTGGCTGAGGAGACACAGCTTCTGTTCGGAGCATATTGTACTAGTAATCCCCCTGCTGTGGCATAGTTCAATAAGCCTGAAAATATAGGGGCTGCCTTGAGGGTGGTCACGATATTCCTCATTGCTGGAAGTGCAGCTGTTCAGATCTTTTGCTGTCCTTGGCTAAGACCTTTATGTCATTATTCCCTTTCCCCCTCTTTTCTCTTTAAAAAGAACCAACACTGTATAGCAATGAGTGCCATTCTTAAGGAAGATATGTGCTTAAAGGGAGGGCACTGCTTTCACCATTAGCCTAGCTGAGAGCAGGCAGTGAAAAATGCAACAAATGCAGAGCAAATGTGACAATGTATTTCTAAATGTGACATACCAGGAGTTCCCCTCAGACTTCACTTCTCTTCCGTGGGATGCATGTCCCAGAATAGAGGCACAATATTTCAGGACCAGGTGTTGCAGAAGTAGGGCTTGGTGGATTTGGGGGCAGAAGGTTACTCTAAGATATCTAAAGATTAGGTGAGTCAGAATCACAGAAATTTTAATATCTTCCAGGCAGAAGCTTAGTCTCTGTCATCACCTCTTCATTTGTCACAGGAAAAATATTTGAAGTCATTCCCTCGCCACATGACTAATTGGAAACATTCCTTCTCTCTGTTCTCTGCTAGCTTGAACGCTCCTTCAAATTCATGCGTGAGGCGGAAGACCAGTTGAAGGCTATTCCCCAGTTTTGCTTCCCTGATGCTAAGGACTGGGCCCCCATCCAGCAATTTGCCAGGTAAATGCTGTATATTGTATCCAGATCTATGAAAAAATGGATTTGTATATCCAGCTAATAAAATACGAGCGTTGTTTTGGTAGACAATCAGATAGTGCCCTGAGAAGATTGCATCGGAAATACGAAAGATGAAGTCAGAGACGTTGTCTGTGAGTGATGGGTCTCTTCTCATTCTAGTTTCTCTTTCTGCAGTGAGACGTTCTCCTTTGTCCTGACTGGGGAAGATGGGAGCAGGCGGTTTGGATACTGTAGGAGGCTGCTGGTAATTATCCATGGTTCTGTTCATCAGCAGGAGGAAGACCACCTCTCTTTGGGTCTAGTGGTACTGGCACCTCTGATGGGGAGTGAAAGCTGCTGCTCTTCTGTTCCAGGGTGGAAGGAAAGGGTGGGAGCAGACCAGCTTCGTTCTCTTCTGCTCAGTGCAGAGGTTGCTCTCTGAGACTCCCCTCCGCCCCAAACACAGCTCTTCTGCCTTTTCCTCATACTACACTTAATGTTATGAACACAGGCTGCTGTTTCACTGCTAGGCTGAGTAGGATTTATATCCCTTAGGTTCAGGTAGCTAGTAATTAGTTGTCCAAACCCATGCTGGTCCTGTTGGTTCAGAGCTGTCTCTGTAGAGCAGTCTGCCCTGCCTGACTGAGGAAGGTTGGGATCATACTGCTTATGGACCTGTGCTTCCCCACTGTTTCTAAGATGTCAATGTTTTGAGCCAGTCTTGAAGTGTTACCTTCTGCAGCAGGCCAGTTCCTGAGCAGCTAGCGAGTTGCAGGTGCTAAGACAGCAGTCGTCTAGTCTCTGCAGTAGTTGTAACTGACTTATTTTTGGTGTTTTTGTGTGTGTGTGTATATGTATTTGCCTTTCTCTTGAAAGCCCACTGGGAAAGGGAAGCGTCTCCCAGAAGTTTACTGTATTGTAAGTCGTCTTGGATGCTTCAACCTGTTCTCTAAGGTGAGAGGGAGAGAGGAAGGGAATTTGTGCCACAGAAAGGGACCTGAGAGTGAAGCCGGCACCAGGAGAATGGGGATCAGGGAAGCTGATGCTTGAGAAGGGGAGGGGGTTGTAATGGTGTTGGCAAGGCGAGCACATGCTAATTCCAGCACCTAGAAAAATACTGTTGAAAAGAAAATCTTGTCAGCTGTTGGTTTGTTCCTTCAGCAGGACGACCAGGACACAAACACTGACAGATTAAAAGGTGGGGTCCTGGCCCCAGAGGCCAAGGGGAGTTTGCAGGGGTAACTCTCCCCTAGACCTCACTGGTGCTGGGTTTCTCTTGTGGAGGAAAACAAAGGGTTTACAGATGCATCTCTTCTCCCTTTTGAGTCAAATCTCCATGTCAGTGCTGGGCTAAGGAGAGCATTTAGATGCTGTTTAACTCTACTCCTGCTGCCGCGTCCCTCCTCTGCTTTGACACGTGCTTGTGGCTTCACGGTTTTGTTTCAGATCTTGGATGAGGTTGAGAAGAGACGGGGCATTTCGCCAGCCTTGGTGCAGCCCCTCATGAGGAGCGTCATGGAGGCACCTTTCCCAGCTTTGGGCCGCACGATCACAGTCAAGAACTTCCTGCCAGGCTCAGGGACAGAGGTAAAAACATCCTCGAAGGAGAGGGATGTGGGCCAGCAAGTGCTGCTAGAAGTGCATGGAAGTTGGGTCTGTGACGGGATGTTGTGGGGATGTTCGGGAAGGGCAGGTTGTCTGGGAGCTCTGTGGAGGGCAGCGAAGGAGTAAAATAGGGGACCTGAGGGGACAGCATGGAAATTTTTCCAGTGACCTCAGACTCAAAAAGTTTCCAGAATTTACTTGTTCCGGGGACCCTGTCCGTTAAAACTGGAAACTGAAATTGGCGAGACGTAGATTCAAAAATTAACACTTCTAAAGTTGCCTTTTAAAGAGGAGGGAACCCAAGTGAGAGAGCATGATTGCACGAATCTCATTTCCTCTGGGAAGAGCAGGCTAATCAGAAAGATTCTGTGAAAACGCTAGAAAGATGAGACAGACATAAGATAATACTGTAGGGCAACACTGGGTTGATTCTTTCCCCCTTCTTAGTGTTAGAAGGCCTATAATGTACGATGTGAAGACACCAAAGACATTCAGTGGTTTTTTTTTGCACTTCAGTCTTCAGAAAGAAAAAGATTTATGGTCAGATATTTAATAGTATTAATACTAATAGTGTGGGAGTGCAGAACAGAAAGAAAAAGAACTGGCTCAGGACGCCTTGATTGTATTTAGACAAATAGGACCTGAGGAGATCCACGGAACAGTTGTGCAGAAACAGCTGCAGGGACTTCTGAGCACTTCGCAAGCGGTGCTGAGAATGGTAGGTCCCAGAGGAATAGAAGAAGGTGGCCTAGTGTTGGCCTGCAAGCAGAGAGAAAGTGAAGATTCAGAGAGGTGTAACTTGATTTGACCTAAATTTGATTGCTGGAAATACATAGGAACAAAATATATAATGAGCTTGTATGAATCTAGAGCATCGTAAGGTAGTGAGAAATCTGCTTGGGTCTGTGAAGAATAAATCATGTTAAACTACTCTGTTCTTCTGCTTCAAGGTAACTTGGCCTGGTAGGGAGAGGAGAAAGGGGGAAGGCTTTTTAGAAGAATTTAGTAAGACTTTCAGCATAGCATTATGTGGTGTCAAACTGAACGGTGCAGACTAAATTAAATTACTGTAGACCACATGCACAACTGGTTAAAAGTCTGCGCTCTAGGAGTAGGTTCCCAATGGTTTGCTGTCAGGCTGTGAGAATGTTTCAGCGTTTTGTTTCTGGGATCCTTAAAGGTTCATTAATTATCTGCTTGATGGCATAAACTTCACGTTTACACAATAGGTGGATGACAGCGTGGAGATGGATTGCAGGCACTTTGGAGAGTAAGGGATGAAAATTCAAAATAGCCTTGATAAATGGAAGAATTGATCTGCAATTCAATATGGACAAGAGAAAATGCTGAGAAGGAGAAATCAAATAGTCCAATACAATATGGAAATAACTGAGTGAGCAAAAGTACTTTGGAGAAGGATCTATTGGTGCAGTGGACCACTGAATGAGCAAAAGTCACACTAGGATGTTAGCAAGACGAGAACCTGCATTGTGAAGAGGATGTAAAAGGATGGATTTAAATGATTTATTTGGAGTAACATTTAAAAAAATAGTTTCTTTAGCATATGAAGGACAAAGCAGGGACAACCTTCCAGCACACAAGGTTTTGTGCAGGGAGGAAGGTGACCCGCTGTTCTGCGCGCACTGAGAGAGAGGCAAGACGTAGGTGGAGGAATCTGCCGCTGAGGCAGCCTAGTTGCAGGGCTGGAGTTGGTAAGGAGGGCTCAGAACTGGATTACATTTCCTTCTGGCATTTATAAAATGTCCATTGTTAGGGGTTTATAGGAACAAGTCAGATAGTCATCTGCCCAAGGTACTAAGTGTAAATGCTAAGGTATTGTGACAGAGATTGGGTAAATAGATATGAACCAAAAAAAAGCTTCCTGCTGTTCTTTTCCACAATTGATATAAAACTTTATAGTTGGTGCATTAGCCATCCAGATTCTTGCAGTAAAAATAATTAAAAAAAAAAAACCTAACTGTGGAAATAAGAGGGAAAAGTCCAAAGCCGTTCCCCTCTCCGGGCATGCCAGGGAACCTGGAAGCGCTCCTCGCTGGACAGAGATGGATTTTCCTCCTCATACAGAGCTCCCCACCCTCACTCCGGAGGGGGAACTTGTGCGTGGTGTCCTTCTGTGCCCGCTGGAGTGGACTCCGGATAATTCAGGAGGAGGATTTTGTGGGAAGGCCTGTGCTGAGAAGGGCCCCGGATCGGCGGAAGCCGGCGCTGAGCCAGGGTCTTGTCTTTGCTCCAACAGGTAATAGAGCTGCGGCGGCCTCTCGACTCCCGGCTGGAGCACGTTGACTTTGAGTCCCTGTTCGCGTCCCTCAGCGTGCGGCACCTGAGCAGGGTCTTCGCCTCCCTGCTCCTGGAAAGGCGGGTGATCTTCGTGGCAGACAAGCTCAGGTACTTCTCGTGCTTCCTAAAACAAAATGCTGGCAAGGAGAGAGCCTGCGGTGACTGGTTCCCCTACCCTGCTCCTCGGGTCTCCTCAGCACCTTTCCAGCCTCTTACCCCATGCGAGTAGGGCTGTATTTCTGCGGAGTGGGGAACTCGGGAAGCCACATGCTACAGCCTCTGCTTTGCAGCTTGCAAAATGAGAGTTTTTCCTCGTCCCCAAGGAGAAACACATCCCCTTTCCTCCAGATCATTTCAGAGCAGAGCCCCAGCACTGGGGAAGGAAAAGCTGTCTTGGTTCATGGGAAGGCAGCATTCCTCATGGAGCAACGCTCAGTTTTCAGGGAGCCTTAGGCAGAGGATGCTCTCCCTTCTGTGTAGGCCCCTGATGTCCCAAGATTGGTTTCCCAGATTTTCTTGCCTTTGTTTTAATGTTTTAATACTAATTCCTAAAGACTTTATGTCATAGGGCAGCGAGAAGTAAAGGGAGTAAGGGAAAGGGTGCAGTGAGGGAGTATGAAGCTGAAGATTTCCTCTTTTCAGATTTTCTTTTTTTTCCTCTCTCCCTTAAGTTATGAAAATGGGTCCAGGTTTCTTTAAGATCCTGTGCAGCTGGTGGCTGGCAGCTCTCCAGCCCTTGAAGCACTTGAAGATTCAGGGAGGGAGAGTGCGCCAAGCCTGGGGAAGGAGAAACAGCTTGGATGAGTAATGACACTGCGGAGCTGCTCAGGTTTCAGGAGCGCCCAGTGCCCCCAAGCTGTCTGTTTTCACAACTTGCAGCCAGCAGGCTGCATCTCTGGGCCTGGGGCAAAAAATGGGGAGGCCCCTCTGCAAGGGAGCTACGGAATAAATGAATCCTGCAGGGATCCAGTGCTCTCTGTGGGAAGAGCTCGGCCTGTCTCCTTGCAGCGGGGGGAAGGCTGGAGAGGGGGAAGCTGCAGCGTGGGCTGCTCACGGGTCTTGGCAGCTGCCTTGGCTGAGGGAGGGAAAGGTTTGCTTTGCTGCAGTCACTCACACATTATGCGGGCAAAAGGGTGTTACTCTCAATCCTTAAGCCACACGTGAGAATTCAGACTTGACTGAAACTGAGAGATTTCATCCAAATGCCGTATTTCTGCATAGGGCATATGATTTGTGTGATAATTTATGGTAAGTTTTGCTTTGGTGGAGTGGGGGTTCTTCTACCCCACAGGGCAGGTTTAACCTCCTTGCAAAAGACCATTAAGGACACAGGCATCCCTATATTCTCTGAATGAGGCAGGATGAGAGGAACAGGTTGTAGGGTGCATGGCTTGTTTTGTTTTGCTTTTCTAAGGCATGTTTAGAATGCACCTTTACTTGGCAGGGCTTTCCTTGTCCAATCTTCTCATGACAGGACACCACCGTGTTTTCTGAGCACGCCACGTGTTAAAAGCAGCTCTAATTGAAGGCACTTCTGTGGGTTTGGCCTCCCCGCTGACAGCCCCATGTCTCCTGTCAAAATTCAGGGATGTGAGGAATGAATCTGGCTGTCCAGGCCTGGAAAACAGCATTGGAGAGAGCTATAGAAACATAGTTTGATAGCATATAGCATGAACAGCTTGCTTCTGTGGGAAGAAAAAAAAAAGTCATGTTTTAAAGATTCAGGGTCTGTGGGGCACAAGGCTGAGAATCAAATACTTAGTATAAACCTGCCAGCTCTCTACAAGGCTTTTAATATTTGATATTTCTGAGACCTTGCTCCTAGTGTCAAGCAACTTCAGGAGAGTCTTAGTTTTTCTTTTCTTGTAATAAAAGATGAAGTTTCTCCAGCTCTTTTTGTTGTGGAGAAAAACTTCGAAATGACCTTGAAGGACTGTAGAGGCTTGGAAATCAGGAGAAAAGAAAACAACCATCAAAATGAAATCAGGTTTTGTATTTCTAGCCCAGTCCAGTGGCTGAGTTGGACTGCATTGGATTGATGCACCTTTTGTCATTAAGAGCTCAAGAATCTCAGTCTTGTGGTGGAAATCCCGTGCTTTGAACACTACTGATGTTGCAGATATGGGACCTCCCGTCCAAATGCTACTTCCTTTGGGACAGGAACACACTGAACTCAATGAATATTAAATAGTATTTACTTTAAGGGTAAAAATGCCAAGTTCAGGGAAAAGCAGATAGAGATTTTTTGCCAAATAGCTTAAGGCAGGGGGAGGGAACAATAGAAGCAGCTGTTCGGAATTACTCAGAGGTCTGGAATGCTAGAAATGATCCAGCAGGGATGGAGTAAGAGGCAAAGTGCAGGTGACATGATGAAAGGTGCACAGCAAGTTACATTTACCATGAATCTTTGGAGCTTTCTGTGTGGGAATTATCAATAGCTGAATCTGTACATGTGCGCAAGGGTGTGTTGTGTGTCAGCCACAGAGAGAAAATGATGTATACATTTTAGTTATGACTTCTAATTGCTCTAAAATCTGTCCCTGGGAAAGAAAGCTGAAATGTCTTATGCCAAACACTGTGTGAACTGTGAAATGTTTTCAAGCTGAGCCAAGAAATGCATCTAACAAGTGTACAGCAAGTGAAATGCTTCGGCTTTTCCATCTTTAGAATGTACATTGTCTTTTAAAGATCGGTCAATCCAAAGGTTGGCAACGGAAAAGGAAAGAATTTGATTTATTTTTTTTTCCTCTGTTGCCATGGAAGCAGATATACATTCCCTTTCACTCCAGGAAAATGACTTAGTTGGAAGTATGTTGATCTGTGTAGTCTATCCATGTCTTTTACTCATTCCTATAGGGTAAGCCTTTGACTGGCCCAAGGGAGATCTGTTAAATTCAGAGGGCTTTTTAAATCAGAAAACTGACAGGGGCTTCAGACTAAGGCCCTCATTTTTCTAGATCTCCGTGAAAGCCTGTTTTGGATCTGACCAACTCAAGAAACCCCATCCGTCCCTGCCAGGAACCACAGCTGTGTCAACATCACAAAGTGGTCGTTGTTATCAAAGGCAGATCTGAAAGCATTAGAGTAGACACTTTAAACGTGGTCATCACCAGTAAAAGATAATTCATCAGCAGCCCTTTCTGTGTTCTGTGAAAACAGTCTGACCCGGGCCTGTGCATCCCTGCATCATTTTTGTGTTCCGATTAGGGAGAAGAAGACACCAAAGGAAGAGATGCATCGATTATAGTATTGTGGGGGCGTTTTTTCAGTGCTTCTTCACATGCACTAACTCGCCTCTTCAGTGGTAGGCACGAGCAGCCCCCAGAAGCAATGACACTGTCCTGACAAGACACGTGGTGGCACTTGACAAAGTTGCAGTGCAGGGGTGGGAAGCTCCGTCACCTGTAAAACATCGTAAAACAAGAGTTTTGCAAAGCAAAGTTACTAAATCCAGATGTGACACCATGTGGGGAACCCAAAGGTGTTTGTAAAATGAATCCTGCTGATGCAGAGTTTATATTAAAGAAATAATAATAATAAAAGAATCATATCATGTTAAATTGCCAAATACCAGCACATTTTCAGCAGTTTGGGTAGTGCCAGGAACGAAGGGCTTACCGACATGAAACTCCAAAAGGCTGATGGACTGAGTGGCATGCGGTTCTCTTTTTGTTTGTTTTTTAAGAAATCCTTAAGAATCCTAAATGCAAAGAGTCACTGAAAGATTCTGCATGCTGGACTTTTTAGTGAAAATGCTTGCCTTTGGAGTGGCAAGCTGGAAAACCTGCAGTCAGTCTTCATTTGGGAAGAAAGTCACCAAAGAGAGCAGCCACGATCCTTCCTAAGTTGTTGCTGCAAGTTGTTTAGAGTGTCTTCTTTTGTGCAAGTCAAACTAGTCTTGGAGCAGATTTCCCATACACGAAGACAACTTTCCTTGCAGTTGCAGCCACTGTGTTCAGGTTCGATGCTGACCACCTCTACAAGGCTGCAGCCACACGCAGCAGCTGCAGTTGTTTTTGCCTATGATCCTGTGTGGTGGAAGGGCCTGTCATTTGAGCAGATAAATGTCATAAATTGCTCCACTGTGTTCAGGTTCGATGTTGACCACCTCTACGAGGCTACAGCCATATGCAGCAGCTGCAGTTGTTCCTCTGTTTTTGCCTGTGATCCTGTGGGGTGGAAGGACCTGTCGTTTGAGCAGATAAATGTCATAAATTGCTACCATATTATTATTTTCATCAAGGAATTGTTCAGCAAGAGATACATATATGGGTCGCTGTCTGAACCCTTCCGGGAGGGAAGCTGGGAAGGTTCTTCACGTGCATCAGCACCTTTTAGTCTCCGTGCTAGCGACAGCTCCTTCACATCTTGCAAGCCCTGACTGACTGGTATGAGATGTGCAGCTCAGCCACATTCCGTACGGGAGTCCGAGTGAACCCGGGAAGGTGTACCCAGGATCTTGAAAGTGTGCTCTGCTCTAAAGCCCTGGAGTACCTTAATGGTTGGCTGTTGAACCCAAAAGCCTTAAAAATCAGTGTCTGCATGACGCACCCCAGAGCATCTGCATTCCCACAGGACAGATCTCTCAATTCCTTGTGGTATTTGGAGCACTGGGTCACTGTGGCTCTAACAGCAGCACGGGTAGTTGTGGTGCCTGTGGTGCTGTCGGATGCCCGTGACTGCGGTATGATTTGGGATTTCAGTTAGGGCTGTTGGTTGTAGCCACACAAAGGTGTCGCTTGTCTGTTTGGGATAAGAGCCCTCACAGCAGAAGGGGTGACCGGCACCGAAATACAGAGTGTTTTGAGAGTGCATTGAATCATTGCAGTGCTGTGGGCTGTCAAACATTTCACCAGCAAATACTAAGCATGAAGGAAAACTGCTGGCTGCCCAGGTGTGTGACTTGGTGATTCCATAAGAGATTCTTCTTCTTATTTACTGATATGCTGGAAAGGCCTTTCAGCTATGGCCCCGCTTGTCTTGGGACACACACCCGTCCCATAGAAACAGGCAGCCAGCCTGAGCAGAGCGCCACACTTCAGTGGTTAGGCAGTAACCTTGTGGAGATACCTGCCACACACATGGGAACACGTTGTGTTACAACTGCAGTGAAATCCAGACCATCTCCCCTGTCAAGGATGGCAGAAGAGCACATGGTTATGCAGAAGGCATATAAGGAATTTAGCACATGAGATTCTTCCATGTGGTTCAGTGACCTGGCTGTGAATTAATGATTTGTCATTGCTTTTGAAAAGCCTTATGCAAGAGAAGAAGGTATCTTAGATTAGATTAGATTCATCCAAAAATACCAAGACTGCTGTGCTCCCGGAAAAACTGCGACTCCTTGAAACCCTCTGCAGAGCAATCCTGACCACATCACGTGCAGAAGAGGTGCTCCACTGGTACCTCTCTGTGCCCGCCTCTGAAGTGCCCAGTCTCCAAGGGAGGCTCTCAGTCCTCAACCCAAACCGCCTTACTAGGTCCCTGTTTTATTATTGTTTTGTGTTGTTTCTCCTTTTGGTTCACACTGTTTCTCTCTTTATGTAGTTTCTCTTCTGTCTACCTTTTCTTTCTTTTTTCCATTATCCTCTTTGTGGGGGGTGTCTCTGCTGCCCTACTCTGCAGTCGGTAGGTCTATCAGACTGGGGCTTGCTGACAGGACGGGGCAGCCGCGGAGCAGAGAGGGAGGCGCTGCTGGCAGGAATGAATGGAGGGGAGAGAGGGGTGCCCAAGACCTTCCTAAAAAAGGATGTGGAACCGTCTTTTCCCATTTAAAGGCTTAAGGATGCTTGTGTGTGATGCAGACCACGAACGGTCTGCCTGTTTGTTTTATACAGTAACCGCAAGTATCTTCCAAAGGTTCTTCCATACCTACTAAGAGTCCTAGACAAAATACTCACATTAAGCAGATTCTGGTCTCTCCCCAGGCCCAGGGATTTACTTATCTCCAAAAAGCATCATGTGTTTTCTGATGTTTACTGCCTGGTTTCTTCATACGGTCACCCCGATGTCCCCGCAACCATAACCACGTTCTGCTAAAGGGATCTGACGTGCTTAGAGCCAGCCCGCTGCAGCCCAGGCCGATCAGCTCAGCCTGTGTTAGCTGCAGCATGGTGCCCCACTCCTGCCAGGCTTAGCCGCAGCGGCGAGGGGAGGCGGGCAGATCAGACACG